CCTCTCTAAACTGGTGGAAGAAGCCTAAAGATGGAGCAAGGAGTGGAGGGACTCGCTGTGCTTCTGGGATTTCCACTTTTGCTCAGGACAGAGAGGAGGTTTCTGTAATTTCTGTGGGGAATGGGTGCTGCGTAAGTTGCTGCAGGGGACAGAAAAAGCAGCTTGAGGGGTTGGCTCTGGACATAGTCCTTTCTGTGTGTTACCTGGTGAGTATTTAATAAAAGTCCCTTGGCTTGTTTGTGACCCTGGAAGCAGCCATGCACAGCCTGCAAGTGCAAAGGATTTGGGTTATTTGGGGCAGAGAGCGGGTCCCATCTCTTCCAAATCCTATGCGGGACAAACACGTATCGGATGACACGGTCTCAGTGCAGCTGAGAGGACAGAGGAGCATAGTATTTTCCCTTTATAGCTGAGCTATGGAGTCAATTTGTCTTCACTGCGATTAGCACAGTGCTGTTGCTCAGGCTGTAACTTCTGCTAGGGTGGAAAAAAGTTTCCTGAGGGTGGCAGGCAGAGGCAGCAGCCTCTTCCCCAGCAGCCATCCCAGCAGCTCTCCCCCTTCCTGCCTCAGCTCATTTCTCTTTGCACAGCACAAAAAGTGATTAAAAATGAGATGCAAAGCGCGCTTTTCTGGAGATCAATAATGGCCCTGCTTGAAGAATTAGCCGGTTTGGGGTAACCGCTGCTCTGCGGTGCCCACGTTAGTTAAGGGAGAGGCAGTCCGCAATTTAAGCGTTTAACAGAAACGGAGGGGTTTGCGGTCTGGAGGATGAGCCCCGGCTCCTGCCCGGAGTTTGGAGCTGATGGTCCTCATGAGCTGCGGGTCCCGCTCGACCCCGCGCTCTCTGCGATCCTGTCCTGGGCCTGCCTGGGCTGGAGGCTTTGATTTGCAATTGGCCAGTTGCTGACCGCCCCGTCGGGCCGGACGTGCCTGGCCTTGGTACTCGGAGGCTACCAGAGCAGGACCCGGTCCTGTGAAATGCGGGGTAGCCTTGGAGATAAGCAAGTGACATCCAGAAGTACCCCAGACCCGTGGCAGCAGCGCTGCGGTTTCGGTACAAATCACTTGCCCTTAAATTGTAGGCAGATGCGGTCCTGTGCCGAGGGCTGGCCGGTTGCGCATGCAGGCGACCGGGGCTGCTCAGCACCGGCTCCCTCAGTGATTCAGGGCAGAAGTAAGCCGCTTTCTTACAGCTTTAGTCTGCTGTTTGTTTTCACTCGAGTACAGCGAGCTGTCAGCTCTAATAGTTTTTAACAGCATCTTTTCAAAAAGCAGGACCCCCCCAGAATACGGCTAACACCGCGGGGCAGCCACTCAGCTCCTGAGCGTCCTCCCCGAGAGGAGCTTGGAAGGCCTTAAAACCTGTAAAAACAGACGATGCCGCCGACAAGTTTACAAATGCACAGAGGTTAAACAGCGCGCTGCGGCCGCCGGAAGGCGAGGGACACCCAGCACTGCCCGGGGGATATATTTTGTTTCCTAACACCCCGCCGCCCGGCCGGGCTGCCCCCTCCGAGGGGCGCTGGGAGCAGCTGGGGATCCCGCGCGCCCCGGGGGCACGCCAGGGGCGCGTCCCGGGGGTTGTGGCCGCGCCGGGATGGGTGGCACCGCAGGTACTGTACT